AACACACGATAAAGCGGATTTTAAAAAATTCCTCACTATATGCCCGAGGTACTACGTTATATCAAGAGTGACGTGTATTATATTTGATTTTTGGTATCTTATAATATAAGTATTATATAACTTAATTTGCTTTTATTAAATAAGATAGTTTGTTTTAAATATCATGTTAAGCTATTGCAACAGGTTGTGCAAATGAATTTTTTTTGAGGATCATGAATTTTTAATATACTAATGTTGTGATAAATCTATTAATTATAATATAAAATCAACTATTATATGCATAAGTCACCTCAAAAATATATTGCAACACTAGGTTTATGCTAAGTTTAGGTTAAGCTAAACATTATAAGGAGTGATATTAATATCTATAATGTTTAATCTAACCTAAATCTAACCTAAATCTAATTTAAACCTAAATATATTATAATATATTTAGGTTTATATTAGGTTTAGGTTAGGTTAGGTTAAATATTACATGGGCGTTATATATCACTTCCCTGTGATGTTTAGCTTAATCTAAACCTAACATAAACCTAGTTTGCAATATATTTTTGAGGTGACTTATAATAGATACAAAACACTATAGATGCGTTTTATAATAATTTTTTTTTATATTAATTCTAAAATATTATAAAATTTTATTAAAAAAAAATTTTTAATATATTTTTGTCAAGCAAAAATTTTTCACTAAAAAAAATATAATGCATTTCTATTGACTCACCCCCATATACTAATTATACCATTTTTGCGAAATGATCGTAAATTATGCGATTTTTTCAAAACAATGAATTTAAATTATAACATACTAATCGAATTTTCAGATAAAGTGATTTATCGTTATTATTACCATTACAAAAAGTTTCTCGCCACTAACATAAAATCAAGTTTTACTTACCGTTACGTACCATTACAGTAAACTATTGACGTGTCGAATACATGATTTGCATTGCTCAACTAGTGATACATTAGCCTCATTCTAATGCATCACTAATTTCGACATTTATATGAAAAATTAAGAAATTTTTATTAAACTCGGTTTTAGCCAAACTATAATTGATGATTTAAAAATTGTCTAACAAGCGCAAATTATATGCTTATGCGATTTTTTTTTGTCAATTTATGCTTCGCATCGCATAAAACTGAGGTCCCTAGTGTAGCGTAAAAATATCATTTTGAAAAATCGTGTAAACAACCCGTAAAAAATTTTCTCAGTGCACTTTTATATACTATAAAACTTTTGTTTAATTTACCGATCTATCATATGAATAATCAAAATCAATCCGACTCTGATCTAATACCGAACCATCACATTTTTCGGATGCAGGTTAAATAGCTGATGTCTTCTCTAGTAAAGGTGGTGATGATTGAAAAATAGGACAGAGTTACTTAACAGTAATTATAGATTATCATATCATGATTTAACCCGGCCACCCAGATTTTAATTTTTCAAAAATAAATTTTTAATTACCGAATAAAATTTACAATTAGGATGCTCACACTTTGAAATCTGTTGCGATAAATTGTTCGTTACTTTTCCCAGTTTTTTCTTCAGTTTAGTAATATAACTAAGGAAAGAAAAGCGAAGCATAAGAATTGGAGCTTCAGCCATCTTAGCATTATATTCATCTTTTTCTACAATTATTCTAAAATAACCAACGCCATATATATTTCACAAGCGTGATCATATTTAGCGGGAATTTTTTCTAATTCCATTCCTTCCAGGAAAAAATAATCAACTTCATTTATTCCAACAGTATGACCCAATATGTTCGTTCTTCTCAACCTTTTGATTCCATTTAGATACAAGATTTGAAAGTTTGGCGCTTGTTCTTGACTTCGTTTCCATTTATATAATAGTAACAGTCACTATTTATTTCAACAGCATTTCAAGATCAATTTGAATTCAGGCCCTAACTGCTTTAAACTAGTTGGAATTGTAAAAAAAAAAAAAAATTACATACCCAACTGAGATATGAATAATTTTTATGTGTTTTAAAGAGAAGTTTTCGCACTTACTATCGCGAGTAGATATTGAATTTTTTTTAAGATAAATTACAATATGATAACAACGGGTTAGACTATCAGATCGCTACTAATTGGGTAAGTCACGTTATAATAAAGTATTTTTTTATTAAATTTAAACAATAGCGATAGTATCGGTATCTTAATTAATTTACAAGAATCCTATATCGATATAATTTCTAATAAATCAGATATACTGTTTATATGTTATAAATGTTAACAAGATAAGTACAACAGATCTGTAAAGCCTTTTTTTTAATAGACTTAGTACTTTTTTGATTACCCATGTTGTAATTAAGCATTGGATACGGGATTATTGTGTGCATCGTGATTATAAATCTTTGCATAACGAATATTTTTCATATTATAATAAAGATTTTAAAACTTAATATATAGTACAAGAGACATTATATATATATAAACATCATATAATTATATTTTCAAGTGATATAAACTACATTTTTCGTAGGGTTTAATGCAATCCATTTTCACCCTGATACAAATCATGCAGGTGACTCGGATGATAAGTTTGCATCCGGTTCGGAACTCTAGGCTGGAAAAAAAAGTATTGAGGTTAATAGTTGTGATTAGAAATAAAGTCGAATATAAAGGTTAAATTAATAAATATTACCGGTGGACTGATAAATGATTTCAATTCCTCTGTACATAACATTGATGTAAATATTCCAAAAAAAAAAATAATAATTAATAAATGAAAGTAATAGTAGTGCATTTCAATTACACAATTTGAAAGTATGATCAGTTGTTATTTGGCAATAAAATGTTTTCTTCAAATTAAAATTTCGGAACAGGTCTGAAATTCATTCATCATAGCACTGTTTTCGACGAAAATATTTCGAACAAAAAAAAAAAAAAAAAAAAAAACATATTAGAACTCACCAAGCTTTTCGTCTTGCAACTCTGAAAACTGAATTGGATTGGATTCGTTATGATTATCATACAAAACTGTTTTAGAAGTTGATAATTCAGCACATTGTTTGGCCAAAGTTCCAAACCTCCGAGGATTTTCTTTATAACTTTAATAATATATTCAACGATTAGGTTATGAAATAAACAAATAATGAACCACATAAATATTGATACTTACGTATCATAGGCATCCTTGTTTTGGATATGTTTTTCTGATAAATTATCCAAAACACCCTTTTTAAATGACTTCTTAACGTAATGAAGCACATGGAAAATATAATATTTGTGTGGTTCCCAATCCTTAAATTGTTGGATCAAGGAGAAATTACCAGTCTCTGGGTGAATGAGCGGGTGGAACAAACCACCATCGTTTATTAACTTTGAGATAAATTGCACGGTTGGGGGATAATCTGGATATGTATTAGAAAAAAAAAAAAAGTTAAGGTATTTTTTCATACAATGATTGTTAAATTAAACACAAAGTTCAGCGTCCCTCATAAAAAGGATATTCATTAGGGATGTTCAATTTAAACTTGAAAACGCCGCCTTTATAATATCCCTTATGAATGAATAAAACTCCGTACCAAACTATAAATAAATATATTTATGTTAGTTTAGGTAATAAATTCGAATCAAAAAAAAAAAATGAAATCAAGATCTTACTATGAAAATTATCAGCAGAGGGCATAACATAAACACCACTTGGGCAATGTCTCGGATTACGAAGGTTCGTGCTTTTTTAAAAATAAAACTTTTAATGCTGGTTTCATTAACACAACTATTAAGAGATAATAATAATAGTACTTACAACTCGATCATTAAATCCATTTTTCTGAAACATTCATCTCTAAACTGTGGCTTAGGCTGCTTGTCTCCTTCGGATTTATCATTTTCATCACCTTTCTCACCGTCGCGATTGGAACTATTTAAGCCTGAATCGGTCGAGCGATAATACGAGGTTTTAGTCTGCATGTTTAAAATCAAAGTTTTAATTAAATAAAAATTACGAGTATGACCTTTTAACGTATTATAAGCGTATTATATGTTAAGCATCAGGGTGCATTCCAAATTTCTAGAAATGGCTACACACATACCGATACGTACTTAAAGTTGTATTTTTTTAATATCGATATAACTAAAATAAATACTATAGTTAACTGTTAAGTAAAAAATATTACGTGTATAAATGGCATGCCCCTTATGACTATTTTTGTAATTAATGGGAGCGAGGCAAATTTTTATAATAACTTGGATACTAAAATTTTTAATGACATATTACATTAGGTCGTTTGAATTTAAACGTTTTTTTTTTTTTTGTGCAGAGGGGGGAGGGAAAAAATTAAACAATAATTTTAAACGAGGTTTGAATGATCCAGGCTTTGGTTCAAGTTACCCTAATCTGAACCAGCTCGTGTTTAATGTTCGTTGTTTGTCTAGCTTCAAATTTTTCAGGCTATACTCATAACTTATTGTTTAATTTAAGGGGGGAGAACGTTAAAAATAGACTGACTCTTGACCTTAAAAGAATATAATATAACATAGAAAAATATTTTTATTCTATTCTTAACTCATTTAATATAATCGATTCTATAACTTAAACTCTTCACGAGTTAAAACCATCGTTAGAGTTAAATACTGTAGTTAAATAAGTTATAGTTTGATGCACTGATCGAACTATATGACAAACCACGAGTTAGACAGCAATATGGGATAAATTAACCTTACTAAACAAAAAAAAGCGATATACTCTCTATGCATTAGAAAAAAAAAAAAAAGGTCAACAAGAATCACTCTTCCGAGCGCAATACTTTTGTTAAAAAAAAAATACGCTTTTATGAATTCTTACGCTGTAAAAAGAGACGAAGATACTTCATATGAAGATAGTAATGGTAATAATCTTTACTCTAAACATTCATCCTCTTTCTAAGATTCATTTCCAATATCTCACCCTTCGTAGAGATTTCTTCCATCAGTACAACCGATGCGGTATCAATTACTTCTAAAGACAAGAATCCTGAATCAGAAGGTTTGGTTCCTTACACATTAGACAATTCGAAAGCTGACGATTTGATTCAATCCATACCAGAACCTACTACTTCAGAAATTGAATCGTCAATTATAAATAATACCTCAGATAATATTTCAATTAACCATACATCGACTACAAAACTCTGTGAAATTCGTGAAACTTTGGATAAAAATGATATAACCCAAATTAATACTGAAAGAGAAAATCATGAATCTAGTAAAAATATTTTTAAAAGAATAGGAAAAATGCTTAAGAAAAGGATTAAAAAGGCTTTTAGGTGAAATCATATATGAGTTCATTTTATTGTAATTTGTTTAACTGAATTATATTATTCTAGCTAATTTTAATACAAGTTATCTTATTTTATATTATTTGTTATATATCAATATTCAACATTATTCATATAATTTTTATTACTATAAAATTTTGCTAATAATTTGAAAACCTTGTTTTTATTTATTTAGTACTTAATATATTGTACAAATTGTTACTAAGTCTTATAAATTTACTAATCTATAAAAACTTTAGAAATACGTACGTACAGTCAAAATTTGTGTAACAAAAATCATTTCGAGCAAAATTGGCAAATTTATAATAAATTTACTTGATTTTTTTTTTAATTTAAATTTAATTAATTACATAAATTCTTTCCTGAGATCTACATAAGAGTCTTTGCTTTGAAAATTACTTTATAGTTATTACATTATATATTAATAGATCACTTTTAAAGCAAAAAACTCCTTAGATTTCAATTTATAAAATTAGTAAATGCGGTACAGATTTCAGTTAGCCGAAAAACTTATAGTTGAATATACCAATTATGAAAAAAAAAACCAAGAATAATCTTTTTTTTTTTTTTTTTTATTATTATTGCAAATTTCTTTTTTGACTTTTAATATATGATATGAAATCTTGTGTTCTAATTTGTGAATTTTAACTATTTTTTAAAACTATTGTCGTTCCCAACAAGACTTAACAATTTATGTTATTCATAGTCAGTATTTTTATATAAATTCGATTAACGTTCCCAATTTCTTCATGTATAATGAATAAATTCTCTAGAATACATACACTTATAAAATTCAAATGTTATTATAGTCCATCAAAATTTAATAAAACATTTAAAAAACTGAATTGTAAATAAATTCCAGTTTTATATATAAATCTATGAATTTTCTTTTTACTTGATGAACGATATACATTCTTTAATCTATTGTCATCAATAAATCAATCCATTGACTCGTTCTTATGTAATGGTACTACCTGGTAGCGACCTTTAGTATCCAAACTACTCTTGCTTATTTTATAATAATTATAGCCAGCAATACCTGCTATGGAAACCGCAAGTCTAACCAAAAAAAAAATAGATATATAGAATGCAATTAGTAATTATAATTAATAATAATAATAATAAAGTTGAATTCAACATAAATATGAAAATATACCCTAATATATTCAGAGGGGTTAATTGATCTTGATATATAAGAACAGATAATACGATTATAACTACTTCTTTACTAATTCCAGCAACCGATAATGTTACTGTACTAGTATTTTTGATTAAAGCAAATTCTGAAATTGTCATACAAAATGCCAAAATTCCACCAGCTAACATTAAACCAAATGTTTGAATAATAGTTTCTGGATCCTTAAAATGTTTTGAATTACCAAATGCATAAAATGGTTTTTCAAAAATAAATGAAAGAATAATCATCATAATAAACATCACAGGAGATACATAATAAAGTGTAGCAACTGGATGATTCATCCCTTCTTCTTTTTGAAGAAGCATTTGAGTTAAAGACCAACGTAAACCACTAACAATTGCCGCACCTAATACTAATAAAAAACCTGTAAGATTAAACGCAGCTTCTCCAAATACTGTCATAATAACTCCGATACTTATAACAGATATTATAACAACTAAAATAATACGAGGATGTTCTAATCCAAATAAAAAAGCAAATACGAGCACCCATATAGGTGTCGAAGATTTTACCTTAAATATAAAGATGTATAATTTTAAATTATAAATATATTTAGAATTTTATACGAATAAATAATTACATACCATGGTATAAAAACTCAAAGTAATATACATAAGTGAGGCGTTAGCCATACATATTTCTAATGCTGCTGCAAGAGCGCAAGGTACCTAATAAGAAAAATAGATATATATTTCAAGATAAAATATATATATATATATATAAATATTTGAATTTTAACTTACTACTCTCGTAATATAACTATTTATTGAGACAGATTTTACTTCTGGTTTTTTATATATAAATGAGAGACTTCCGCTCATTAACATTGATGTTATCAAGAAATGTGATCCTGTATGAATAGCGCTCACAAATAAAGGTATATCTAAATTAAATTTATCTTTTCCAACTAGTGCCTTATTGTAAAAGGATAAAGCAGTAGAAAAAAAATACCAAGAGATTATGTATGATATATTTTGAAAAGCATTTTGAAAGAATTGATTTTTTGGGTTTATTTCTGATAAATAATTTTGAACGACATTTGGTGAACGATCTATCCCCGTTGTAGAACTATCAGGAAGATTTATTATGAGAGTTGAACTGCTCGGAAGTAATGGACGAGAAGATTTTGGCAGACGTTCAACTGCCGTTGTCGGTGATTTTGGATTTTCACCATCTTTTACGGAAGTTATATCACGAATCGGTTGTAGAAGAATAGAATCGCCGCCCTCCATTTCTGGTTTAAGACGCTTTCTTTTTTAATTTAAAAATGTTTTGTGTTGCACCCGGTTAACTTTGGTATTAATTTACAATTAAGTGATATACACGTGATAATATTCCGCAATGCACTTAAATATCATTGTGCAGCGCTATATGTAATTTACACTAAAGATTTCTCATCATAGTAATTTATTATAAAACGTTCTAACTCCCGCTCTAGTCAAGCAAATTCAATTCTGTAACTTGCAAATGATATTAGAATACGTAGTGTGGTTTTAAAACTATGTCGAGACATCCTTAAACAATTATTATAAAACGCACCTATGGTGTTTTGCACCTATTATATGTTTTTATTAAGTTTTTAAATTTTCTATGTTTTATTATAGAAATTTTTGATTTAAATTTTTTCATCTCAGGGTTAGTTTTTAAGTTAGTATTAGGGTTTGGGGAGGGTTTTCAGGGACGTAGAACATTTTTACTTAGAACACCTCGTACTGATTAATTAGCCAGTTTTTGAGAAAATGCATGCATAAATGTAAAACACCATAGGTGCGTTTTACGTAGTAAAATTCTTTTTTGTTAATATGGGCTGCCGTGCAAATTAACATTTTAAAAAAAAATTTATACCTTAACTTTCATGGCTCATAACTCGATGGATTTTGTGGCTATTTTAATGATTTAATAGTCAAAAGAAAGCTTACGATCTAAACTTTCTTTTGAATATTAAATAATCAAGATAGCTTCAAAACTTATTGAGATATGAGCTGTGAAAGTTAAGGTATCAATTTTTTTTAAAATGTCAATTTGCCTTATTTCTATTGACGCAGCTCATATAATTAAAGAATCAAATGTTTTTAATTGTGAATTTTAATAGTAAAATATTTATGATTTATAAGTTATACTATTAAGTCCCGAAATATTATTCTTAAATGTAATAACATAGTTTTATAGTTATACTATTTAGATATCATTTACAAGTTGCAGAATTGAATTTGCTTTATTAGTGCGAGAGTTAGAACGTTTTAAGTGTAGATTTTAATTAAATAATACTCTATACAGTACTATTATATATTATACTTAAGATGTTCTAACTCTTGCACTAGTAAATTCAGTTTTGCAACTTGTAAATGATATCTAGATAGTATGATTATAAAACTATATTATAACATTTAAGAATAATATGTAAATATATAGTATAAACTTATAAATCATAAATATTTTATTATTAAATTCATAACTAAAAAAAATATTTAATTCTTTAATTATATTAATAAAATTAATTTAAAAATGTTTTAATATAGTTTACTGTAAAACTATACTAGTTTAATATTATTTGACAAGTTATAGAATTAAATTTGCTATACTAAAGCAGAAATTAAAACATTTTAAAAATATATGATTTTTATAATAAATTATTATAATAATAAAAATAATCAACAAAGTTTAAATAATTTTAATTTATTTTAAATATTTTAATATAAAAGTTTAATATTTTTTTAAACTTTTAGATTTGACTTTAATATTATTAAAGTTTAATTTAAAAGTCTAAAAAAATAGTAAAGAAATCAAAAATTAGAAATTATTAATTAATAAATTTTGTATAATTTTATAAACTACAATAAATAATTATTATAATACTTATAATATTATATTATCTCTTAGACCGTATTCCAGGCAAATTTGCCTGGAAAATTAAAGAGTAAATACTATTTTTTAAATAATTTAATAAAATATTAATGAAATGGGGTCTATATTATATATAGAATATATTATTG